AAAGACTAATCAGGGGCAGGTCACCAAGAGTCTGACAAGGCAGTAATATTTTGGAATTCAAAGAGACCATACAAACGGTTTCATCCAAACACCTCATTTTACAAATAGGAGAACTGAGGTTCAGACTAGCTAAAATATGATTTACTCTAAATTGTGTAGCTATTTGTAGTTACTGAGAGTAGGGATGTCCATTGGACTTGATGGTGGGGAACCATGTCATTTGGCAGGAAAGATAGGCAGGGTAGGGAGGAGAGAGGAAAGACAGGTGCTTAGTTTTAAGAGCTGAGATTATGCAGTATGAAGTTAAGAGACCGGGTGTCGCAGAATCAGGTCAGAGAATGGCCACACATGAAGTGTGAGAAGGTGTTGAGAAGCTACTGGACAAAGGGGTTGGACAAGAACAGGAGAGTCTCCAAGCCAGAGCCAAACTTGACCTTCTCTTCTTGTCCCTAGGGATGTATGGATAAGGAGCCTAAGAATTTGAATATCCTTCCTTCTCTACTTCCTGGTTGTTGTTTTTTTATGCCCCCTGAAGTTTGTTGAAACTTCTCACCTTTCAAAAACTCTCATGAATCCAGCTGTAACTTCTGGAACTTAGGCCCACTCTATCTTTGATCTGGGTGTTGACACACCAAGTAGGATCAGGTTGCCAACGGACATGCCACCAGTAAGTTCCACTGTCTGGTCATTAGGTCGAATCAGTCCTTCAGTTTGAGGCTTTTACTTTATGTGTTGTACAGATGGTAGCTACATGGACTTCTCAAGAGAACTAATAAATTATTTGGAAGGAGGGAATTTGATTCATTTAGGCTTTAAAATAGAGATTTTAAAATAAAATTGCTTTCTCAGGCATCACCATGAGTTAATGTTACATTATTGACAGATGGGACATATTGAAAGCACTGATATGCCTTGGGATAACTCATCCCTTCTGTATGCTATTGCCATTTAGAGTTGATTTTGGTTTTTCATTTGATTTATGCCTTTGTTAGTCAGCTCACCATTACAGCAATAAATATCTCAGATCACTTATAAATTATCAACTTATAAAGATAAAAAAATTATTTTGGCTCACAGTTTCAGAGGTTTCGGTCTACAGTCTAGGGCCCTGTCACTTTGGGCCTGTGGGGAGGTGGTGCATCATGGTGGAGGTGGTTGGCAGAGCAAAATCACTCACTTTATGGATAGGACATAGTAGAGAGCGAGAAGGGGGCCAGGGTTTCACAATCCTCTTTAAGGGAATGCCCTACTGACTTGAAGACCTCCCACCAGGTCCCATCTTTTAAAGGTTATACCACCTCCCACTAGCATCATTCTGGGGAACAAGACTTTATAAACAAATGGGTCTTGGGGGAAACACTTATCCAAATCATAGCATACCCAATAGAGATCTTCTTTTTCAATTTTTTTTCAACTTATGTTGTTGGATGAGTATGGATCTTCAGGGAAAAGGAAATTTCTACAAAACAGGGTGATGACTATATAGGGAATGGAGGTTTCACAGGACAGAGAAGATGAGATGAAATCCTGCCCAAACTGAGACAGGACTTCATGGAGAAAGTTCAGCTCTCACTCTAGGAAAGAAGAAGGGTTCAAAAAGGAACTGCTTCTATAAGATTGAGGTTGTCGTTCCTACTTAAACATGGTAGGAGAAAAAAATGAAGAAGTGAGTACCTGATTGAGATACAATATTTAAAAAATAATTTTGAAACTTTGAAAGTCTTTGGTGTTTTTACATCATAGTGGTGCAGCATTTGTAGTAACGATGTGTAACATATCATAGAATCACAACACGTATTCAGTCACTGTGAAAAGGTGAAATTGTTTTAATCTGCATGGAAGTAACATTTAGGTGATGATAACTGTTCACTGTATAATAGGAGAATTTGACGATTTGTGGGTTTAAGTGGGGATGTTATTTCTTGTAGATTGGAAAAGTTAAGAAATAGAAAATTAATAACATAACTTTTAGTTTTGCCTCCAACTCAAAGAAAATCATTTTAAGCTTGAAATATTAAAATGGATTATGAGGTCTTCATACTAATATAATATAATCCGTGACTGTAGGTTCTGTGGAAAAATATGTACATGTTAAGACTTTGGGTGGAAAAACACCTTTTTTCCCATTAGAACCCCTTTCTGTTCACTGACATCTGAATGTTCTTTTGATCCTAGTGAAGATTGTTTATGGTCACCAAAGATATTCTGTGCAGATTTTAATATCTTATGCAAGATTAAGTCAGCAGCTGAACTTAGTTCTCAACGAACAGGAAGATGTTCACTACATCCTAATGGTTTACTATTCTGACCAACATTCACTAGGGAGTTAACTAGTGTGACTGAGCCACGGGTCAAGTCATTTCCAGTCCTGGAATTGGACTGGACACATTCTTTCCTCTGATTCTTGGTTTGTGCTGACCCTGTTCCCTTTCCTGCCCTTTCTTCCCTATTTTTCTAACTTTGACACCTCCTTAGAAGACCAGCTTAACTCCTCTGTGCAGCATTCACTGACCATTCCAAGCACGAGGGCATATGCTTTATGCAAGCTCCTGTAGTTCCTATGTAGTCCTTAGATGTCTTTAGACTTCTTTATCTTCTTTATCTGCCTTATTGTAGTGAAATTCTCAGCTCTCTGAGGGAGTACTCATCTTCAGCATGGGCAATGAGCATTGGGTGACTGATTGACAGTCCCCACAAAAGCTAGAGTTGGGGAGAGGGTTATGAAGATTAGGACAGGAGAGGAAGGTAGATGTGGATAGGATCAGGAACATGACAGCATCCTAAAATAATTCAAGGAGAAGCCAGCTGATCTGTGATGTAGCATTTGTAATAATGATGTATAACATGTCATAGAATCACAACACGCACTCAATCACTGCTGGCGAGTGAAGGCAAAGAGGGTGTTTGGCCAGCCTTAATGTCTTTGTGGACTTCCTTAATTGACTAGATACTTAACTCGCATGTGTGTTTTTCTGGGGATGGAGCACAAGGCCATTCTACTTGCTCCTTTCCCAAGTGGCTCTCCACTTTCATGCTCTGCATAAACTGCTCTTCTGGACTTTCTCTCCTCCACCTCTTCTCCTCTGGTTAGCAAAAGCTACTGTCCTTCAAAACCCAGTGTGAACACCACAACCTCTGAATGCAGTGTTAGAAATGTGACTTAGGTTTCTAGTGACAGCAGCTCAACCCAAAGTAGCTCTGGCAGAAAAAAAAAAAAGAGGTTAATAGTCTACAAAATGTTTGGAAGGACAGAATGCAACTAGTCCTCTGTGGAATCTATAGCCAGCAACGCAATCTATAGTCAGCAACTTC